CTAGAGCATTGTTTCCACACCCGGGACCCTTTAAGATGGGTGGACTTCAACTCCCAGAATTCCCCAGCCAGCCTGCTGGCTGGGGAATTCCGGGAGTTGAAGTCCACCCATCTTAAAGGTGCCGAGGTTGAGAAACACTGCTCTAGTGGACAATCTTCTAACCCAACTTGGCTCCTTCCAGATGTAGCAGGATGGCCGATATCTACAACACAGCTGGAGGGCACCAACTTGGGGAGGGCTACCTTAACTTCAGTACAGAGTTCTGGAGAAGAAGCAGCCTTGGTTAGTTTCCCCCTAAACCCTGATCAGGCTACACTAGGCCAGACCAAATCGAACCTTGTTGGAAATGAAACCACGTTTCGCCCGCCCTTCTGTTCAGCCTTCCTCAGCCGGGGGCCTTACAGATAGGTTGGACTACAGTGCCCATCACCCCCAGCCAGCACTGGGATATGTTGGCCTAGGGAAGGGAAGCTCCCTCTCGACTGATTCCGAGGCATCGTGCTGAAATAACATGGAGCTAACGAAGCCATTAAAAAAAGACTATAAAAAGACTTCAGTGGTTGAGGCAGCCAGAAGGTTGCTTGCTTGCCCTCATCTTTAACCTGGTTTAACCTCTCCCAGGCTCCTGCAGGCATGATGGCTTGGGCGGGTTGGAAACCCCTCATGTTATGCTCAGCTGCTGGGGAGGGTCTTCCTCCTCCTCCTCCTCCTCTCTCTCCCCCTTCCAAAGGTTTCTGGGCTGGAGCAGAAATGAAATAGTTCTGCAAAGCTACTTGGCAGAGGGCAGCAGAGGGCCGCCCTGAAAACTGGAGCTCCTTTAAGCTCTGCCAGTCAATCCCCAGGAAGCTATTTATCTGCAACCCACAGAGGCCAGCGAACCGTTTGCAGGGCGAGGGACCTTGAGCGTGAACGGAGGCCTCCCTCTTGGTTTGCAACCATTTGCATGTGAAATTGACATCCTCGTTAGCAACCAGCGTTGCAGGCGGCCGCCCCACTCAGCCACTCATTTTCTCCCCTCTCCTGCACCTGAAGCTGGGAGGAAGGATTAGCAGGGGAGAGATTCCAGTAATGCGTGAGAAATGGCTCCAGCGGGGAGAATTGGTTCCCCTACCACACTCCTCCTGCTCCCTCACATCCAGGAACCCGTTTCAAAGCAACAGAGATATCTAATACAGTGCTAATTGTTCATCCCTCAGATGGTCAGATTTGGCAGAGGGGCTGCCGGTTGCTGACCCCCTCACAACCATAGAAATGACTATTTTTATCAAGAACAAAACGGGGCTTGCAATATTGCACTTGCTGCTATAGCACTGTAAAGAGCTTTTCTTTCCGCCAATGATTTTTTTTTTAGCCAATTATATGCAAAATGTCTCTGATGCCATTCATGTCCCATTGACACCTCTCAGATGTTACAGAAAATCATGTCCTTTGAGAGTTATGGATGGATCAGCCTCTGGCAAGATGGGATTTGAATATGGACTGCAAGTACAAATAGGCAGCTCCCTTGGAACTGAGATCTGGATATCAAGCACCTCCCTGTAGAATAGCTATAGCTTTCTCCACTCTGGAACCTGAATAATGTACAAGGTAGTCCTCACTTAACAACCATTTGTTTAGTAACTGTTCGAAGTTACAACGGTGCTGAACAAAGGGACTTGCAACTGGTCCTTGCACTTACAACCATCGCAGCATTCCCATGGTCATGTGATCGTGGTCCAGGCACTTGGCAACCAGCTTGCACTTATGACAGTTGCAGTGTCCCAAGGTCATGCGATCACCATTTGCAGCCTTCCTAACCAGCTTCCAGCACGCAAAATCAATGGGGAACCACATGATTTGCTTAACAGCCATGGTGATTCACTTAATGACTGCTGCAAAAAAGGTCACAACTCGCTTAACAACCGCCCCACTTAACGAATTTTCCAGTCCCTATTGTGGTCGTTAAGCGAGGACTACCGTATTGAGAACATTGCTGTTGTTATTAAAGTGTATATGCCACCAACTCCCAGCGACTCTGGGCAGTTGCCCAGTGCTGGGAATTGCAGATCTGACCAGGATGTCTGGTAAGTGCCAGGCTGCTCCTGCCTCCTGCTCTGCACCGGTTGGGTTTTTTTTTTCCTTGAATAAAACCTCTCCCCGTAAAGCTGCTCTCCAGCTGCTTGAATGCCACCTGCATGGGCCTGGTGGACGCAGGGCTGCCAATGAGCTCCCTGTTCTGCGGAGTGACCTGTGCCTTGGACGCCGACGGCAATATCCTCCTGGACCCCACCATGAAGCAGGAGAAGGTGGGCTTCTTGTCCTTTCTGTGCAGGGCAAATGCTGTTGCTCTTTGGTGGCAGGGAGCGCCAAAGGCCTACAGGGCACTGGGGAGGAGAGGGGAGGACCACAGCAATGCGTGCAGACGTTTGGGACACATTCTGCTCGGACCAGTTAAACGGAACAGCCAAAGCACCAATGTGGTGAAGGGCAGTCCCTGGGTCCTGAGCAACATCAGCATCCCAGCGCCCTCCTGAAGGTGGAACTCTAATCCCACGGTGGCTGGGGAGGATAGAAACTGTAGTCCTGCCCCTTGGGCAGCATGGGCCAAAGCTGGTCTCCAGCCCGGTTTGAGGAATAAATGCAGCTGGACCCTCCAACCTCAGGAGTTTCCGGATTCTACCTGGAGTTGTGCCAAGGAGGGAACCCTTGGCTTGCGGGCGCTCGGCCTGTGAATCAGTCTGTCGTGATGCCAAGTCTGGCAAAAGGGCTACCGTGTTTGCTCTGGCAGGTAATTGCTGCTTCGGGCTTGGCAGGGATCCAGCTCTTCCTTTCTTCTGGACCACAAAATCCTTAAGTCTTTCTGCTCGTTTATCAGCTGCTGGATTCAGTCCATCGCCAGCCGCTCTCACTCCAGAACGGTCCTTAATCACCTGCAGTTTGGTGCTCAGCCCCTCCGATCTGCCTGGGGCCTGCCAGGAGCATTTCTTTCCTTGCGAACTTGTCCAGGAAGAAGCGAACTGAGTCCCGTTCTTGTAAAGAGGCCGCCCAGCGAGCACATGAGCCATTCTCATCTGCCCAGTTTTAGCCCATCCGGGGACACAAGGGCCCTCCCCAACTTTCTGGATTTATGTGAACGTGGGGGGGTCACCTTGGGGGAATTGAGCGGCCGGAGTGAAGGGAGTGGATTTGCTGTGGCATTTTTGCTGGGAGGAAGAGTAGAAGTTCTGTTTAAAAAATAGCGACCCCTTGCTCTTTCTCTGTCTCCTGCTTATTGCTAAAACCCCACTCAGTCATGGTTGCAAGGGGGGAAGGCGTTCAGTTCAAAGAAAAACTCGTTTAATCTGAAGATGCATCCCCTTTGGGAATTTCTTTTGCAGGAGAAAAATAAATCCCCGAGCGTAGCTGGAAAACAATGAGTGCCTAGAGAAATGTATTTCCCGGTGTCCTCCTGGCAACTGCCTGGATGACTCCCTGCAGTTTCCCTGGCAAGGTTTTCAGAAACGGGTTGCCCTCGCCCTCTTCCTAGGGCTGAGAGCGACGGACTTTCGGACTGGCCTAAAGTTATCCCATTGACTTCTGTGCCTAAAATAGAACCAGAACTTAGGTCTTCCTGTTCGTAGTCCTGCTCCAAATCGTTGGATTACAAATCCCATGATCTCTGGCCAGCAAGTTTTGTATCTCTACAAAAAATCAAAGTCTACAAAAATCTATGGCTGCCTGGGGAACTCTGGGAGTTGAAGTCCACGCATCTTCAAGTTGCCAAGGCTGAGAAAAGCTGCCCTAGGCAATTCAAGACTTGGATTTTTTAATTAACTCGGCTCTTTTCTGTGCATTATCGGTAATTCAACCAGATAATTAGTGCCAAATCACGTTTTATCTCCTTGAATTATTTACATCCCACGCTCCCATTGTTATTTATCTCTAAATTCATCCTCGTAACAAAGTGGATCGGAAAATATTAATGGTTCTTTAAAAACACAAAACCCCGCAGAAACTGCCTCAGTTAAATCGTTGCGTGTTTCAACGGGGAAATAGCAGCACTTAGCCAGATCCAGTTTAATCAGCTTAATTCAGAAAGTAAGAGTCCGAACGCTACAGGAAACCTGGTTTTGTTCAGTGCCTAATTCTCTTCCAGTCGTGTTAACTATAACTCCCATGGTTCCCAGCTTGCTTGGGAATTATGGGAGTTGTAGGAGGCCAGGTTTGGGAGGGATGGTTTCAATTCATGTTGAAACTAATAATGTTGGTGTCATGTGGACTTTCTGCTCAGGGCTAGCCCAGAATGCCCCAAACTCCGTAGATTTGATGGTTGAAATCGTTTATCATCTGTCACAGCTTTTCAGTTAAAGAGCAACCTTTGATTCATCTTGGCCAGCCTTCCCCAATACAGCAGCTTCTCAAATATGTATTTATTTACTTGTATACGACATTTATATCCCGCTGCAATCCAGTGACTCTTGCCGACTTCCCTGATAAGGAAAAAAAACGATCAAAACCTCCGCTGTAGATTTCAAATAGCAATTGAAGACCTGGATCATAACATCGTAAAAACCACCGCCCGGTATAACAACAATACAATAAAACAAAAGTAAGAAGAATAAAAAGAGTGCAAATAGGTTGGACGCTAACTCCCAACACCCCCCAACTAGACTGGGGTTCAGGGGTGCTGCTGCTCAATAAATCTGAAAGGCCCTGAATTGGGGAAAGTTACAGACCATGGATTTCCTCAATATTAGGGAACATGGTGTTCTTTGTTTCTGCAGGATGCCCCTGCAGTGTTGACCTTCGCCATCGACAGCATTGAAAAGAAAATCCTGCTGTCAAACTTGAAGGGGGCATGTTCTGAAGAACAGGTGGGTGTTACGGCTGGTGGGTATTGTGCCTCCGAACCCGAAATTTATTTATTTATTTGATTTCTGTAGCCGCCCGTCCCGACAAGTGACTCTGGGCGGCGTCCAGAAATTGGCACCCAGTTTGTCTGCGGGTGGAGCGCGTTGCTTTCAAAGCCTGCCTTGTCTGCAGTTGTAGTCGTCTGCCTGACTTCTGTTCAGCGTAGCTTGATGTGAGCCCTGCGAGGTAGTCCAGACAGGAAGCATAACCCGGAGTACAAGCTCTTTCTTTAGGGGAAGGTGACAACAGAATCTTGCAAGTCTGAAAGTATTTCTCCCCTCCTGTGATGGAATGGAATGATGAAGGCCAGGCTCAGGGAGATAAACATTTTCTTAGCTCGCCAGAACCGCGTGGGAG